CCTTTGCTCCCCCTGCTGTTGATGTTAAGGAGCTACAGATCCAGCAGACTCTTTGATCAGCATTGGGGCCACATCCCAGCACTCCTCCCATCGACCATCTTCGATTCTCCTCTTCATCTCGTTGGACAGCTTCTCTCTGGCATAATTCCCCAGAGTCTCCTTCAGGACGCTTTGGTTCTGCTGCAGGATCAGTTTGTGGTAGAACTTCTTTCTCTCCCTCGCTGACTGTTTGGACCATCCCAACATGGCAAACAGAGCTGGAACTGAAATGATGCCGCAGAGCAAACCAGTGCCGATCATCTGAACGACAGACAGAAAAGATCAAAGCTGTTTTCTGTCGCATTTAAACTCACATGAAGCAGAATAAAGGTTCTCACCCAGGACGTGTTCTTCAGCTCAGCAATAGTCTTCTGCTCCTCCTCAGTGATCATCCCTGCAGATTTACAGGCTAACGGAGCCTGGGTGGTCTGGTTGCTCATGCAGCAAACGTACCACTCTCCATTGATGAGCACACACACCACCCACAGCAGGGCCACAAATGCTGCCCTGATGATGTACCTGCAGGAAAACGTCAAGAAGCTCCAGTCTGATGAGAGCAGCAGGTGTCTGCTGGTTGTCTGGAAAGACGAGTCCGTCCACAGCAAGAACACGAAGGTGATGAGGAGAGGAAGGACCAGGAACAGCTTACAGTTCCATCCCTGAGGGGTGCAGGAGCAGTTGAAGTTCACACCCAGATAGACAAAGATCACAAACACTGCAAAGTAGGAGCAGAACCCTCTGCAAGGCAACCTGCTCTGAGTGCTCTCCATCTCCAACCTGAGACTGAAATCTGCTGCTCGCCTGCAGCTTATGTCCTCTGGACCAGAACCAAACTGAACGATCCACTTCCTGATTTTAAGAGCTGCTGAGTCGGCAAACATCCGAGTCACGAAGATTAAAGCTGAGAGGAGAAGCTCTGAAAGTTTCCTCTATAAATATCTTTCTACTGAGGAAAATGATATAAAATTCACAACAGATTTAGGTGAAAAACGAAATGAACCAAAAATAAAGAAAACTGGACTAAGTCTACATTTATGGTCTGCATTAGTTGATGTGAACCATTTTCTACATCCAATTTATATCAAAATCAGCCTGAATGTTAGATTGATGCTGAAGTGTGTGTGTGCTGGATATGATAGACTTAAGGATCAGTGAGTATCCATGGCTCCTTGTTCTACACCAACAATCAGATTCAGGGCCTGATCAGATTAAAAATGTTACATGTTTCATCCTAATCCAGTTCATTCTGCAAAGGAAGTTATGACCAAAATCTGATTCTGATCCCGAAGGTCCTGTGGTGAACAGGTGTGGAGGGAAAATTAATCTAACAACAACTAGAAAAAGTTGTTTCGGAGAAACAGCAAAGTGGGAATGCTTTTTTATGCTGTATGAAAAAAGAAAAAAATAGCTAAAGAAACTGAAGCAAAAAGAACCAGAACATAGCTGAACAACTTATGAAAATGTGATATGAAGTAATCAGAAACTTCAAACAGCAGAAAACTGTGGAATCAACTGAAGATTTTCAAGGGTAGAATCATTTGGCAGAATAATGGCAGAAACACACTCATCTTAAAAGCAAAACACTTAAAGTTGATTAAATAGAAGAAAAAGTCCAAACGTATCTGTTCACCTGGAAGTTGATGGAAGTAAAGCATCTGTTTATGAGGTTAGCAGATGCTTTATTACAGTGAAAATGTTAGAGCTTCATTAAGAACTGTGTACGTAGGTGTGTGGTCAACAGGCCTTGGTAGTGTAATTTGAAGAAATTGGTTGAGTTCAGGTCATAGCTACGAACCAGACGGCACAATGAATGAGTGTGCATAAGGAAAAGGCTTTTATTTTGTAGAGTCCCTATAGTCTTATTTTGAAAGTCTACCATGGATGTATGTCAAGGGAAGGGTCATGCCCAGCAGTGATATAGAATACATTTCTAATTGTGAAATCACTGGTTATCCATGTTATTGGGTGAATACATGCTGTATTAGAGCATAAATGGGAGACTTTTGTTGTGAAATTTGCCCTGGGGTGTGTTTTGAAAAGGTCCCTAGAGTCTAATAGAAACAAGCTGGTGGAGTTTGGGTCATAATGCTGGGCCATTTGCATCAATTAATACACAAGTATGATATAGAGGCTTTTATTTTGTAGGATCCTTGGAGTCTTATTTTGAAAGTTCAGCAGGGTTGTGTGTTAAGCAAGGGGTCCAATCCAGCAATGATACTTCATGAATTTCCAATCATTGAATTGCTCTTTTTACCGTTTTTTAGGTCAATAGATGAAGTGGCAATGGGAGGCTTTTATTTTGAAATTTGCCATTGGGTGCGTTTTGAAAAGTCCCCTAGAGTCTAATTTTTGGTTGCGTTGAGTTTGAGTGATAATGTTGAGAGACATGCTGCAAAAAAAAAAAAAAATGAATATAATGAAGAGGCTTTTATTTTGTAGGGTCCCCCGGAGTCTTATTTTGAAAGTCTTTCAGGGTTGCTTGTCAAGGGCCAGTAGTCATATATTATCCATTTCCCAATGTTAAATCAGTGTTTTCTCCCTCCATTAGATTAATATGTGCTATATAAAATAGCAGGGGTAAAACCCCTTTGAAGCTCGGTTACCTTGACAACGCTTAACGAGCCTGTCAGTGACAGAGAGAAAAGCTCAGCACCATCGTTCCTTAGCTCTCAGGCTTTTTTGAATTGGAAAATCAGCTCCGAACACACGAGTGCTGAAGGCAAACCGTAAATGGTATCTAAAAAATTATTTCAGTCTAAATGACAGCTATCCTTTGTCTTCGATTTGGGTAACTTTCATGGCTGTAGCTCAATCACAACCTTAATGGGAAGGAGAAATAAAAAGGTTTGTCACACTTGCTGGTCTCATTAAATAACATGCAGCTCCACGGTAAGGATGAGTTCTCAAAAGCAATACATCCCCTCTGAACAAACGAGTGCTGAAGGCAAACCGTAAATTGTATCTAAAACATTATTTTAGTCTAAGCGACAGCTATCCTTTGTCTCCGATTGGGGTAAGTTTCATGGCTGTAGCTTTTTCACTACCCTAATGAGAAGAGAAAAAAAATGGTTTGTCCCACCTGCTCCTCTCATTGGATTACATGCAGCACCTCAGCTTCAGTGAGTTTCAGCTGCTGAAAAACCCCTCCGAACAAATGAGTGGTGAGCCAAAACCATATAAGGTATTCAAAAAATTATTTCACTGTAGGAGTCAGCCATCCTTCGGCTTCAACTGTGCCAACTCTCATGTTTATACTAAAAACTATTTGGCCACGGTGTCGATGTAAAAATGTGATTTTTCTGAGTTTGAGGATTTTTCTCAGAATCAACATTTTCCTATGCCCGAACAGGTCAGCTAAACAGCTAAACCATAAATGATAGCGAAAAAATTCTTTCAATATGAGTGCTAGAAGGGTCTGAAGATGTTCTATACCAAGTTTTATGTTTGTACATGAAATAGTTTAGAAATGGCAGCGATACAAAAATATATGTTGTTGTGGATTTTCGGATGTGATTTTTCAAAAGTCTCTCATTGAATTTCTATTGGGGAAGTGTGGACTTCTTTGTGGTCTGGGCCAAACTGCAGGAAAACTGTAAATCCCACACAAATGAGGGTTACATTTCCTGGATCCTGACAAAAATACCTACGTTTTTATATAAAGTTTATTTCAATTGAGTGAAAAATGAAAGTGAGAAGAATCTGTTTGGAAAAACCAGAACATCTCAAAAGCTAGAGCACGCACTCTAGCAGTTGAAAGATTCCGTCCATAGACTTCCATTATAAATCTGAAAATCTTTAAAATTTCTGCTTATGCATTCCCACATATTGTTGTTCACTTTTTATTATTACTTATTTTACCACGAAGAAGTCCACACTTCCCCAATAGAAATCCAATGAGAGACTTTCCAAAAATCACAGACAAAATCCAAAACGATACATATTTTCGTATCGCTCCCATTTGTTAACTATTTGATGTACTAACATGAAACTTGGTATAGAATATCTTCAGACCCTTCTAGCGCTCACATTGAAGGAATTTTTTCAATATCATTTATGGTTTAGCTGTTTAGCTAACTTGTTCGTGCATAGGAAAACGTTGATTCTGAGAAAAATCCTCATACTCAGAAAAATCACATTTTTACATCGTCACCGTGGCCAAATAGTTTTTAGTAGAAACAAAAAAGTTGGCACAGTCGAAGTCGAAGGATGGCTGACGCCAACAGTGAAAGAATTTTTTGAATACCTTTTACGGTTTTGGCTCACCGCTCGTTTGTTCGGAGGGGACGTTTTGCTTTTGAGAGCTCTGCTCTACCATGGAGCTGCATGTTATTTAATCAGACCAGCAGGAGTGACAAACCTTTTTATTTCTCCTTCCCATTAAGGCTGTGAATGAGCTACAGCCATGAAAGTTACCCAAATCGGAGACAAAAGATAGCTGTCGCTTAGACTGGAAGAATTTTTTAGATACCATTTATGGTTTGTCTTTAGCACTCGTTTGTTCGGAGGGAAAGTTTTGCTTTTGAGAGCTCTGCTCTACCATGGAGCTGCATGTTATTTAATGAGACCAGCAGGAGTGACAAACCTTTTTATTTCTCCTTCCCATTAAGGTTTTGAATGAACTACAGCCATGAAAGTTACCCAAATCGGAGACAAAGAAT